GCTGGATGGTTGGAGCCTATGAGCGCCCTGCTCAGTTTCCTGGTCTCAGAAATAAACACAGGGGAACTTGGAAACAAGCAGAAGTCATAGTGCAATCCTCTGATTTTTGATTCTGTTAAACCGTTAAGGACTCCCTCAGAATTTTTTTCTGCTTATTTGAGGTTGCTAAATGTGCTCACACCCTTTGAATGGGACACCTTGCTGGAAATATGGACAAGAGACTATTTCACAGTAGCCCCCAAATTGTGCTTTCTCAGAGTATACTGATGTGTATTTCTAAATAAATTGTTTGGTGGTTTAACTGGTCAAACGTATATTGCTAGCATCCCATGTGGATGTCAGTTGAGTCCCAACTGCCCCACTTCCAATATAGCTCCCTGCTAATGTGCATAGAAAAGCAGTGGAAGCTGGCCCAAGTCCCCAGTTGGCAGTGTGAATGTGAAAGAGCCTCCCAGCATTGCTGTAACAAGGGAGCTGAGCCACAAGCCGAGTGTTTGGACACGATTGTGTACAAGTCTTGGTGAAAACCAGGAGTTCAGTCGGAGGGGAGCCACACGCTCCCCCTCTCATTCTCTTTGGTGTTAGGATGCTGTCACCATGTTGGGCTGAGGAGACAGAAACCCCTGCAGTTTATTTTGTGGTAGGACTTCCAAGCCCAAGGCGGAAAAGCTTTCTCTTTGTTAGAAATGGCAGTGTGGAGTTTCAACTTGTTGGAGATGTTTTTAGATCCGGTGTGAACTCGCTGCGGTTTGCCTTTGGGCATGAAGCTGTTTGGCTTGGCTCTGTTCTATCTGTAATTGCTGCATTTTAATAATTGCCCAATATTCTTGTCAGCAATTTGCAGTCTATATTTTTTAATAGAACCATTTGCTTTTCTCTTCCGCAGGTTCCTTGGGCCCCTGGCTAAGCCCCTGGATTAACACGGCAAAGTCCCGCAGACCCTCAGCCTGTTAAATTTCCCCAAGGCCTCGTGCTGTTTGTGATCCCCAGCCCTGAACAAATACTTGGAGACACCATCTTTTCCTGAGAGCTCCTTTCAGGGCTTGCTAGATAAAAATTGTCTAATTGTCTACAGCATTTGCTTAAATAGCATATTTGTTCAGGGAGAGTTGTTTTTCTCCCTGTCAATTAAAAAAAAATTTTTTTTTTGAGGCAGAGTCTGAGGAAGCTCCCATCCACTTCTTCATTCCTGGAATGGACTGGACTGGGGCTGGACTGGGGCTGGACTGGGCTGGACTGGACTAGGGTTGAAGCAGGGAGCTGGGAACATAGCCCAGGTCTCCCATGTGGGTGCAAAGGGCCCATACTACTTGAGCCTTCACCACTATCTCCCAAGACATGTGTTGTCTGGAAGCTGGAATTAAGAACTAGAACTGAGAGCGGGGAACCCAGGCCCTTCCATGTGGGATGTGGCTGCCTTCCTGGCATCTTGACCACTAGACCAAATGTCAATTCCAGAAATCCATTTTCTTTTTTTTAAATAAAAAGCTGAGTTAAAGTCTTTTTACTGTTGTTGAGTCTTTACATTAATAGAAGATTTCCATTTTATCTAAGGTGGTATGGAATTAGGTAATAGAATTGTTGGAGGGGCTGGTGCTATGGCATGGTAGGCTAAGCCTCTGCCTGTGGCACCAACATCCCATATGGGCATGGGTTCGAGGCTCGACTGCTCCACTTCTGATCCAGCTTCTTACTAACGTGACTGGCAATGTAGCACAAGATGGCCCAACCACTTGGGCCCCTGCTGTCCTTGTGGGAGACCCGGATGGAGTGCCAGGTTCCTGGTTTTGGCCTGGCCCACATCTGGCCACTGTGGTCATTGGGGCAGTAAACCAACAGGTAGAAAAATCTCTCCCTGTCTCTCTTTCTGTCTCCTCTCTGTCTTTCAAATAAATAAAATGCATCTTTTCTTTTAAAAATTAAGATATAATTATTTAATTCTTAACTACTGTAAAATCTGTTACATCTCATTTACTGCAAAATAAATATTTTAGGAGATGAGAGAGAGCGAGAGAGAGAGAGAAAGAGAGAGAGAGAGAGAGAATCTAAAGAGTAGAATCACTGAAAGGACAACATTTCCAGCCAAGCAGAAGCGCAAGTCATTAATGACATAATGGTCTTTTCTCAAAAGCTGGTTAAGCTAGAGAGACTTGAACCAGCACTCAGAAATGGAGTGCTGGCATCACAAACAGTGGCTTGACACGCTGTGCCACAACACTGGTCCTACACTCTGAATTCTTTATCAGGATAAATACCTTGGAAAAACAGAGAAGAGATAGTGATAGCTAACACTTACTGATGGATTATTGTGTGCTAAGCACTGTTTTAATGTTTGTGTGTATAAAATAAATCCTCCCAGAAGTCTGTCTTACCGTGGTGCAGGTCCATTCATGAGGAGTAATCTGGGGGCTGGCACCATGGTGAGGCAAGCTGAATCTCCATCTCTTAACACTGACATCCCATATGGGCACACATTGGAGTCCCAGCTGTTCCACTTCTGATCCAATTCCCTGCTAATGCACCTGCCAGATCAGTGGAGGGTGGCTCAAGTTCTTGGGCTCCTGTACCCACATGGAGACCTGGAAGAAGCTCTGGCTTTGGAGCAGCGCAGCTCTGGCTGTGGTGGTCATCTGGGGAGTGAATCAGCAGATGGAAGAGCTCTCTTTGCCTCTTCCTCTGTCACTGAAACTGCCTTTCAAATAAAATATTGTATTTGGTGGGTGGCAGGTGGAGCTCTGTGGAGTACTGAACGCCACTCTGATCCATATTCTACTTACCCTAGGCTGATTGTCACTGCCATGTTCCGAGCTGGAATTAGAGTGCCTCCTGCAAATGTAATGACCTTAAGAGACTCTGGAAATTATTTTTTAAAAATTATTTATTTGGGAGACGTAAAGAGAAAGAGGAGAAAGTGAGAGAGAATGAGCTCTCATCTTTAGACCTATTGCTCAAATGTCTGTACCGGCCCCTGGGCTGAGGCTAGAACAGAGAGCTGGGAACTCAATCCTGGTTGAGATTCTAACGATTGGAGCCATCCCTGGTGTCTTCCACCGTCATCTACCTTAGTAGGAAGCTGGAAACTGGGCCATGGGTGTCTTACCTCCTAGGTTAAATGTTTACCCCTAGAAAATTCTGTTTGAAATTAGGACTTCATTGTTATGGTCCTAGAGAGGTCATATTTGAAGGTGGTAAGAGACACAGAAGGGGATTTGGTGAGCTCCTGCTGCCTCATGCTGCAGTCCAACAGTCACTTCTTCCCCTACCCAGCTTGATCGCCCTTCTCACAGGCAGATAGTATTAACACTGCGAGGAGCTGTTTTAAGTACTTAACACTTGCGGCAATGAGCTAGGAGTGTTTAATTAGAAGCTTATTTCACCGATTTTTATATTTTTGTTCTGTCTCCTACACATGCCCCAGCTGGTTCTGTCTGTGAGGGTAGCCAGCAGCCCCTGTGTATGGTATTTCCGTGCTGACGGTGACAAGGCTGTGGCCCGCAGTTTGAGATGGGGGCTGAGAGCTGCACCTGCCTACATCCTCTGGAGTTTAGATCACATGCTGGTTGTCTTTGTGCTCTGACCCGGTTATTGGATGCCTTTGATTGCTGATGGGTAGGAGCGCCTCCAGAAGGAGCACCCCTAGAACATTGCTAGGTGTGCAGTAAAGGCTTGCTGAGTTGGGCAAGTTTGAGCTGTGCTAGCCTAAGGGGCTAAGCGATGGGGCCGTGAAGACCACAGGGCAGTGTTGAAGTTAAGCAAACCATGCCAAAACTCTCCTTTGAGACTGGGTAGGAGCAGCGGGGAGGCCTGGACTCTCTTAGTCCAATTACCAGTCTCCCCAGTGAGGCAGACACACAGGGAAGGCTTTTTAGTCTTCTTTTTAGTCTCATTTAAAAAAAAAAAAAAAGAAAGCAAAGAAAGAAAAATTTGGAAGGCAGAGCCACAGAGAGAAAGGGAATGACAGAAAGAGATCATCTACCTGCTGCTTTCACTTTCCAACTGGCCACAAAGGCCGGGGCTAGGGCTGGGTCAGGCGGAAGACGGGAGCATGGAGCTGCATCCAGGTCTCCTTCGTGGGTGGCACGGGGCCCCAGCAGTTGGACCATCCTCTGGTGCTTTCCCAAATGGGTTAACAGAGAAGTAGATGGAAGTAGAGCCATTGTCCCCGCTTCCCCCCCAAAACCCCCATGAAATGTCATCGAGCAGAGAAATAAGAACCTTGGCTTTTTGTGGTTCTGCATTTTTGCAGACAGATTCTCAGTGTAATTTAATTTGATCCTTGTGATAACCCTGTCATTATGACATTAAATTGAGTCTCTAATCAGAGCTATTGGTGCTTCCCGGATGGCACTAGGGACCATGTATATCAAGTGTCACTGTTTACTTTTGTACCACAGCTTAACTGCTGATGTTCTATATCACGTGTGTGCCTTGAGTTTCTTCTGTATTCCTAAAAATTGCATGTAAAACTGAAGATTTTAAAATGTCAAGTAAGCATATAATTTGTGCAAGTATATTTGCCATAAATACCTTTCTTAGTTAATTACCACTTGGCTTGGTATATATGAGAGATTTCATTCTGTCATATAAATCTATTTATTTGGAATGCAGAAAGAGATAGTGAGGTTTTTTTTTTTTACTGGTTCACACCCTAAAAGATACTAACTGACATTGGGCTAGGCTGAAGTTGGGCATGTGGAACACCATCTGGGTCTCCCATGGGGGTGCAGGGGCCCAAGCACCAGAGTCATCTTCTGTTGCTTGCCCGGGTGCATGAGCAAAGAGCTGTGTTTCAAGTGGCAGGGCTAGGTCTTAAGCTGGGGCTCAGATAGGGGATGCTAGTGTTGTAAGCAGTGGCTCAAACCAGTGCACCACAGAGTCAGACTGAAAAATATCTTCTCTGATCCGTTTCAGAGATGATTCATTTGACTTCAGTGTATGTTTGTTTATGAAAGGACATTTTCGTGTTCAGTTTTTATACTGAAATTTGTTTACTTTTGCAGGCAGTTTGAGTTTTGTGAGGCCGCTGCTGATCTGTGCAGATTGTGGTTGAGGGAAGTGACGGCAGGAACATCGGAGAAATGAAGATGACCTCCCGTTGCGTGGTCGCCGTGTTCGCCCTGATGAGCTCCTGTGTAGCCACTGCAGGTAAGTTGCATGTTGACAACTCTGTGTTCATTACTTTCTTTCCAGCGTGTCTTTCTGCCCTCTTTTTAGTTAAGAAGAGTTAAGGCCATTTAGGGTCACGTGAAACTTGAGTTGTGTTCTTTAGGGAAATAGAATATTTGATAACTCTACACATAGTAGTCTGTTTGCCTGTGTTAAATCTACTAAGCTAGCACCACGTATTTTAATGTCAGTGACACACATGTATATATAATTCCTCTGCTATGTTGAGGCAGGTGGATAATAAATATTCTGATGATTAATTCCACATGTTTTTGTTGCATGAGTAGAAAATATTTACATTTTTGTTCCTAAATAAGAATTTCAAGAAAGTAATTTTATACTTTTTTATGACATAAATAGAGCTTCTAGGCAGAGGTGATGTTCCTGGCATGGGCTATTTGGGCAGTTTTTTTTTAAGTTAAAAATTTTATTTTTTGATTGGAAAGGCAGAGAAACAGAGTAACACAATGAGACACAGGCAAGCAGAGAAAGCTGCTATCTGCTGTTACATTCTCCAAATGCCTGCACCTGCTGGGGCTGGGCTAGGCTGGAGTCACAAGCCTTGAACTCCATCTGGGACCCCCATGTGGGTGGCAGGAACCCAGTTCCTTGAGCCTGTCACTGCTGCCTTCTGGGTGTGCATGAGAGGAAGCTGGAATTGGGAGCAGAACAGCCTTTTAACTCAGTCCCCTCCTATGGGACATGGGTATCCCAATGCCAGGTCTTCACTGTCAGCTCCCAGTGTTGTCCACTTCAGAGACTTTACTATGTCACTTTGTAAAATGTGGAGAAATGCACTGTGCTTCCTGGAGGTCAGCCGAGTAGGAAGCTGGAGATGAGAAAGTGTATGACTAGGTTGGATTGATGTTGCTTAAGAGGATTTGATGCCCCACAACCAACATCTTAGGGGTCTGTCAGAGTTGCTTAATAAATTTGGAAGCCTAATTTGCTCTATTTTGTTATAATTTGTGTTGGATCTGCTCTATAATGAGCTACATAAAACTGATTTGTTGGGCCAGTTCTGGAAACTGGCAAGTTTCAACAAGCAAAGCATTAATTTGAGAAGTGATTTGCCCCTTGGTTTTGGCTATCAGATTGCACATGCAGATGAGAATGGTAACGGTTGCCATTTATTGAGATTGCACCACAACCAGGCACCAGCTAAGCAATTACAGAGTAGACAGGAGTAAGATTAGTGCTGTTTACCAGCATGCTTAAGCTGGGCTCTGAGCTAGGCACAATTACTTTGATCATTTTCTAGATGATGAAATGAACTAAAGCGAGATGAGATAATTGGCAGTGTGGTATGGTCAGGAAGTAGGGAAGCCACAGTTCGTATCCATGGTCTCACCTTCTGTCATCCTGAAGAAGTTGTAGCAGGTAAAGTCACCCAGACTTGAAACAAGTGTCATAGGCAGGCACAGGTCAGAGTAAAAACTAGCTGGCAGAAAGCAGCTCCTAAGGTTGGCAAGGCTGCTGTCCTGCGCCAGAATTTTCAATTTTCATTTTGTCTGAAACGTAAAGAGATAGAGACATACACGCATACACACAGAGATACTTTGCATTGGTCGATTCATTCCCCAAATGCCTACAGCAGCTTGCCAGACCAAGAGCCTGGAATGCCATCCGCTTGTCCTGCCTGGGTGCAGGGAACCTGTGTATCTGTCACCTGCTGCCTTCCAGGATACACATTAGTGGGAAGCTGAATTAGAAGAGGAAGAGTGGCTGACATCCAAACCAGGCTCTCCTAGAGGGATGCGGGTGTCCCAGATGACAACTTACCTGCTTTGCCACACGCCCACGCTGGATTTTTGTTTTGAACACCAGGGTGTGAATCTGAATTGCCCACTCTCTCTGTGTTACTGTCAGCAGTTTCATTTTGCCTCATTATTGGTGTTATTTTGCCTTTAGCTTGTGTCTTCAAGTGATCTTCAATAAAATCCCTTTTTGATAAGCGGTAATAGGGACGCGCGAGAGAGAATATGAGTATGGTGAATGGCCTGCTAGGAAATGGGAAGACTGCTGTTTTGAGGTGCATAGCTGCATTTGGTGGGTACCAGGCAGGCAGGCCTGTCACTGTGGCCTGGCTCGGGTGCTCTTGGGCTGGGTTCGATGACTTTGTTCAGCCTTCAAGTAATGGAGAGTGAACCAGTTTTGCTTAACCCCTTTCTTAGTCTTTCAAGCCATTGTGGGAAGTATTTTCTTGCAGTTGTACTCACGCTGCAGGCTCTACTGAGCTGGAAGGAGCAGTACAATCACAGATTTTTATGACTACACGAGGTAGCTGATTGCATGAGGCACCCTGTAGAGGCAGGGATGGTGTTTCACTTTGGTGGAACCCGATGGACCTAATGAATAAAGCAGGAGTCAGGAACGTTTTGTTTATCCTTATTCGCCTTCTGTATCACCACAACAAACTTTACACTGTGTTGTGTGGATCTTCAGGGTGAGCTGAACTTCAAGAAGATGTCAGAATAGTGCGTGTGTATGTATTGCCTGTGCCAGCCCACACTCAGCCTCACTTGTACTGGCACATTTCATCCTCATCGCTACCCTAGGGGGTCATCATACTTTCATTGTGCCTGATTTGTAGAGTAGGACGTGGGAGTACAGAGAAGTTAAGTAACTTTCTCAAGGTCCCACAGCGAACAGGTGGCAGAATTAGCCACAAACTTACTTTATCTAGGTCTGGAGATGGAGTGTCTAGACCTCTGTACTGTAAGGCAGCATGAATTCGAACGATGTTTGGTTTGAGAAGAACGATTTAGCTTTGAGACTTCCTTTTCCTCTTGGAGCATTCATTACTCGTTGAGGCCCCGCTAAATGAAAGGCATGGTGCTACTCACTTAGAACTATACAAAGAAATCAAGTGTCATCTCCTCTTTCCAATTGGTTGTACTTTAGGAGGGCTTGTAAAATATTGCAAAGGTGAAGGCCAGGTGAAACCCAGAAGGTTCAGGAGGTAGCAGAAAGGGAAGCCCTTGTGGCTTGGAGGAGCCAGGCAAGGCTTTGTGGGAGCTGTGGGGCTTGTGCCCTGTCTGGGAGGCTGGCAGAATGTGGGAAGACGAGGCAGCCACTTCTCGCAATGATGACAGGATGTTGGCCTTTCTCTTAAATGGCTGGGCTGCAGAATTGGTGTGGGAATGGGGAAAGAGGTCCGTTTGTCAGGATGGTAGCAAATTGAGGAAGACCTCAAATATCAGAGTGAGACTTGTGGACTTATTCTGAAATGTGGATTCTCTCTCTTCACTCTTCTGAAGATTTATTTTTTATCTACAAGACAAAGTTACAGGGAGGAGGGAGAGAGAGAGAGAGAGAGAGAGAGAGAGAGAGAGAGAGAGAGATCTTTATTCTGCTGATTCACTCACCAAGTGGTTACAATGGCCAGAGCAGAACCAATCTGAAACCAGGAACCAGCCAGGAGCTTCTTCCAGGTCTTGCACATGGATGTGGGGCCCAATCTTTGGACCATCCTCCACTGCCTTGAGGCCATTAGTAGGAAGCTGATCAGAAGTGAAGCAGCCAGGATGTGAGCTGGTGTTCATCTGGGAAGCTTGTGCTACAGGCAGAGGCTTAGCTTACTAAGCCTTGGTGCTGGTCCCTGATTCTCTTCTTCCATCTCCCATGGCCAGAACCACGTACTATTTTTTGTTAAGATTCAAACCATGGGGCCCAACGCAGTGGCCTAGTGGCTAAAGTCCTTGCCTTGAACGTGCCGGGATCGCCTATGGGCGCTGGTTCTAATCCTAGCAGCCCCACTTCCCATCCAGCTCCCTGCTTGTGGCCTGGGAAAGCAGTTGAGGACGGCCCAAAGCCTTGGGACCCTGCACCCATGTGGGAGACCTGGAGCAAGTTCCTGGCTCCTGGCTTCAGATCAGCACAATTCAGGGCGTTACAGTAACTTGGGGAGTGAATCATAGGATGAACAATCTTCCTCTCTGTCTCTCCTCCTCTCTATATATCTGACTTTGCAATAAAAATAAATAAATCTTTTATTAGTAGTAGTATTTTATTTTATGACACAGTTTCATAGGTTCTGGGATTCCCCCAAGCCCTTCCTCCATATTGAATTCCTCCATATTGTTACAGAAGTACAGTTCTTATCCAGTCATGATTCCTCCATTGTGGGTATGGACCACACAGAGAGTCCAGTGTCTTATTGTCCAGATAAATTCAGCAGTTTCATTGGGAGACCATCCTTGGTCTGAAAGTAGAGCTGGCAGAATAGCATCCCCTCCATTGAAAAGCCACTACACAACTTCAAAAACAGGAGAAAACATGGAAATTTACAACATCATGAAGTTAATTGACATGGTATTGAGTGACCAATATGTTAGAAAATGCAAGTTCTTAACCACATCCTGTAACTACTTCATTGACATCTCCATTTTAGTTTATATTCAACCGGCTGCTCTTGTCTATTTTCATTTTCATATTTAGCAGCTTATAGTATTCAAGTGCGATTTTTACTGAACTTCGTGAATTTTAGGATAGTCCAAACAGGCTTTTAACTCTAACAAGCCATATGTTAACGACTGAGAAGCAGAACAGTTTTAGGATGGGTGTGCAGAGAAATCTTTAATACCTTAGTGAGGAGTAACTGATCTTTGTCTTACCTAGTAAGGTATATGGGAGTCCAAGCTGACTTTTTCCTGTCTGTTCTAAGCTTTCCTTATTAGTCTCTGTCTGTCTATCTAATTTCTTGGGGCTCCAGAGTGACCCTGATGGTCATTGCAAGAGAGGGTGGGGAGCCAAAGTGGAACTAAGTTAGGACCAGAGAAGGCTCCTTTTCCGAGTCCCAAAGAAAGTTTACTCTTCTTCTGTTTCTGAGGACCGCTTGGGTCTCCTAGCTGTTGTTCTGATGACATTAGATCCTTTAAAAAAACACACACACAAAAAGAGTCAAACCATGATCTCAGCTGCGGGGTTAGGCACATAGCCTCATTAGCTTCTAATGCAGCCAGGGCCCAGCGTGGAGG